TCGGGCTTCTTTTCAATTTCTCGAGAAGCTTCCTCTGTGGGTAGGTTCGCCAAATTTCACAGATACACAGCTAAAGGTACTAGCCTCCAAATGGTATAGTAGCCCGCTTCCCTATCCCCTTTGCTTTTCTGCCATTCCTCTATATGTCACGGCACTTTTGAATGGGATGACCTAATATTCCCAGCTAGTTGACCCGGCGCAGCACTCTACCGTCAAAATAGGGACCGAGAAAAAAATATTAGGGTCAGGGGTCAGCGGTTGAGGAACGGGAGCTACACTCGCTGCAGGTGGGGCATACGCCCAGTTGGGCGGAGCCCATCTCAAAAATTTGTAAAATGGTTCCAGAGCACCCCAGACAATGGGAAAAGTGGATTGAGGTTAGCAAGGGTCAGAGGATAGGAAAAGGGAGTAACGGAGTCACGCTTTGAGTGGGCGGAATGTGCGCGAGGTAAACGGGCCAGAGTCAAAAACTCGTGAGTCCCTCCCAGTACAAGCTAGAACACCGGTAAAAAGTGGACTGAGGTGACATCAATAAAGGAGGCGTAGACGAAATGGGGGGAAACATCCTCAGAGGTCGGGCTCTATATCGGCGGCGCTTGCAAGAAAATTCCATAACTCGGTCCTTAGAAAGTTTGGAGATCGCGCAAAAATTAATGGGAGATGCGTAATAAGAGTTGATCATGTCGTGGTCGTGCGTAGTGAGACCACACACAACACACGGGCTGGACGTGCCCTCAAGTACGAGTTACTTAGTTTTTCAGTGAGTTCCAGTGCATAATCAGTCATGCTGTTAACCAGACGTCACTAAAACAATACCAGCCGACTCGCCGGCTGACGCCGGCACGTTTCCTTCTTTGTACTAGTAATTAGTAACTAGTCGTATATCTGAGCAAAACCGGGCCCTATCACAGACGGGACGCACCAGCGTCAGCCGGCGAGCTGGCTTTCATTGCTAACAATAATGGATTGTTTCAGCTGCATGTCTTAGACACTGTCCTTCCGGATGCAGTACAAGAGAGAGCTAATTGCTACGCCTTATGGAGGAAGGCAACCGACTATGACACCTATATTGCTATGGTATCGTGTGTAAAACAAGCTATTGGAGCGACGAGACTATGGCCAGGAAAAATTCGATTGTACAGAAGAGCACATGGATGGGCTCGCGACTACTTCCTTTCTTTCGACAAGTACACAGTTTTTTTTCCTAAAATCAGATAGTCAACAGCCGAGAAAATTTTCCACGAATTACGATTATCCCCTCCTCGAACCGTCCGGGAAGGGACACAGAGCTGCTGTCGAGCCATCGCTCCTCTTCCCCTCCCCCCCCCCCAAACTACGTGGCTTCCTCAATTACTCGCACTTTGTTTATCCAGGTGGTACGAAGGTGACTTCATGTTCCACTTGATGAAATCGAACAATATCTACGAGGATGCGGGGGTCTTCACTAAACTGCCGGATCTTGAAGCTTGCGGCGTAGGACTTAATGGATGGCATTGGGATACGACTAAGCGAACTGATGTTGATTACATAAGGTTGGTATATCAACGAAAGAGGCGCTGTGTGCGTGGGGAGGAGCCATTCTTCAGCGGTACTAGGCCACGTCATGTCTGTTCGTCTGCACCCTCTTACCGGGACAACGTGATGTAGCTTTCTCGCGTCGCAACATGACCTGAAACCTCGCTGGAAAGTGATTCCTCCCTGGGCACATAGCGTAAAATAATGATGATTCACTAAAAATACTTCAATTACAGAGAATCAGTGGCGTATGTCGAGCGTTTTGAAAGGAGCGTTTTTCCCAAGCAAGGCAAGGAGGTGTCCTTTCTGACAATGCCCGACGTGGCTGAATGTTTTCCCGATTGTGGAAAGGACACGTAGGATTGAAGTTATTCAACAACTGAATTGATTGACCTTAGGTTTTTCCCTGAATTTTTCCCTAATTTAATTTGTGAATAAATGTTAATAGCTGGTAGCTCTTTCACCATTAAAGCCTCATTCTTCTTACTTCACTAAACCCTAGTTCGCTGCGGACGGTTGGGCGTGTCAGGCAGTATGAGTGTGTCACCGCCGTCAAAGCCGTCTCTCAGGCAGTATAAGTGTGTCAAGCCGTCAAAGCCGTCTTCTGCCATCTTGTTGAAGCGCGCATGCTACAAAAGTGGTAGAAAACGAATAATACGCACTATATGATACAGTCAAATCTTTTGCTTGCTTTAACAACTGGTGGAGAACTTGTTTTGCACCGCACCAAACTCGTCCCGCCTAACACGCCCAACCGTCCGCAGCGAACTACGCTACATGTAGACCTGTGTCACATCTAACATAACCATTATCTTTACGACTCCATGTGGAAGTCGAACACGTGGCTTATCCTAAGAAAGGTGTATTAACGACAGGCCCTAACTCGTTGGTCTGTCGTAAAGGAATGGATTGCATCAATTGCTTTTGTGTGAACAAGTGCCAAACAAGGTCAAGGCTGGCCAAGGGCGCTTGCAGCTAAGTCAAATCAGACGAAATGAAAGGCCCCGAAGCGTAAACCAGTCCCCTGTCGACGTGCGCGCGCATTCGACTTCCTTCGCGAATAGTGCCAATATTGGTACAACTAAGTACTGTTCCCTGCATAAAAATTGAAGACCTATCATGCGGTCCTTGCTTCGGAAGGGGCCACTCTCGGCGGTCTATGCTGTCCACTATACCGCACCCTCTCATCGGAACAGCATGGCATGTTCTAACATGCTTAAGTAACGTTAGAAAACGTCATCCACTCCCACCACTTTCTCATGCGAGAAATTTATGAGCTATCTTGGCGCATCAGAGCCAACCGCATCAGAACAGAGCATAGGCTTCGTCCGGGGCCAAAGCAGCCCCTTGCACCTCGCTTGAGAGTAGCTCCTTTTGACGGCCGGCTCCGTAAACGAATAACTTCGCCATTAGTTAAATGCTGCAGATTACTCGATGGAATCGCGACGGGTGTAGGCACAGGACTGTGAACGCACATCCACGCCTGCCGGCGACGGCGACCAAGGCAGCTCTGCAAAACGACCGTCACTGCACACCAAGGAACCTAATTTTAATTTAGGCCAGGACCTGCCTCCAGTACGCTTAGCCTTCGTTTCATGCTTTGCGGCAGCTGTCAGCCGACCGTTCTCGAACATCCGTCAGCGACCGCGGAAAAAGTACTAGGTATCGTCCAACAAGCAGGCACGTCCACCGCGGTCTACCAACGTTCTCCAGCGACAGAAATAGAATTATGGGGAAGTAGGCAGAGAGAAGACACTGGCCCTTGGCGTCGTGAAATTCGTACGCGCGTGCAACCGCGCTGTACTACCACACAATACCGTACTCCCAGCACGCTGGTGGACGCTAGATCGACATCTATGTTTTCCTAGTCGCTGACGCTGACGGACGCTCGAAAGGCTGATGGCCGCTGATGGACGCTGCCGCAAAGTATGAACAACAGGCCTTGAGATAGCCATCTGGCGAAGTACTCTGGTAAATTTGCTCAGAACATTCTGGAATTTGTCGTGACTTTCGTACGACTCTTTTTAAAGGGTCGCGTTATGGGGCGCGCGGCGGTCCTGGCGCGCTTAGCGGCTACGGTCGAACACTCTGGAAGCCGCTAGGGATGCAGAGTCGCCGCCGACTCTGGCTTCTCTCTCACTTCGACGTCTGCCGCCGTATCGACTGGTCGCTCCTTCGCTCGTCGCCTTGTGCCAACTTCACTATCCGACTACAATGGCAACACTTCAACATCAAGGAGCCGTACTCGACAGCAAGCACTACTGCCTCCGGACAAGGACATCCCAGGTAACCACTGGAGGAGGAGGAGCACCCGAACCCCTTGGGCAGCCAAGGGTGAGGGTGTGTCCAAGGCCCCCAGTGGGCTGTACCCTCGTGGCCCGTAGGCAGTTCTCTGGCAGGGTTCGTTAGTAGGTTAGGGGTCGTACCTTATTTAGTAGTTTTCCTTTTAGTAGTTTTCTTTTCTATTATTGTTGCTCACAGTTATTCGTAGAGTGGTAAATTTAATAATTACTTTGTGTATTGTCGTGTAGCAAGAGTGGTTGAACCACGTCATTTCTCACACATTTATTCATCATAGATTTATCATAGTTCATAGTATAATTCATAATGCGTTGGTCGTTGGTCCCGGTAGAAAGCTAATGACGCGTACGGCCTGATCAGCCGTGAAAGCAAGTGTTCTTAGGTAGAGCATGAGGACAGGGTGTAGGTTGGAGGGTAGTGGGTACATGTCCGTAGTGCGCGCATAGCGTAGGGGCAGTAAGGGCCTACCGGTTGCGGTTAGCAACATTACCCCGCGTGGCAACACCGTGGCGAGCATGGGCAAGCGCTCGTAAGTCCCCTGCAACCCTCGCGCCGAGGGCGGATCCTTTCCCCTCCAGGCACCGATGCGACGTCTGAGGGCTGGTCACCTGGTAGAGGCCAGGTGTGAGGGGAACAGGACGCCACCCCCGGCACGACATATGCTGGCATGCAATGCCCCCGCCCGCCCCGTTGAACAATGGGTAACCTTATTAATTCAAGACGCGCTTCTGTAAATAACTGTTAATTGTTTTCTGCCACCACCAGCCACGTTCGCTAAAAGCGAAACTTGGAAATAACGGCGAGTTGCCCGGCTCACGCGATTGTATTTGCCCCTGATTTGCAACATCAATCCTGCATCTAAACTAGTCGCGGACTTCGCAAACTGCAAGGGAATCTCAAACCATGAACGCAGTTTTCCAATTTTGACGCTAAAGTAAGTTGAGGCAGGGGTGGCTCCAACGAAACTTTGTAGCGTTTTCGATTCAAGTACCGGCGAAAGGCAGCATTCAGACTCCGCGATGGCGCGCGTTAACGCGCTCCAAAGCTACAGACGCGAACGCAGCCGCAGAAAGCCAGTGCCGATCGATACCAGTCAGCGTGACTACACAAACCTACGTTGGTTTTCCCTCATCATACTCTCTCGAAAAACAAGCTCCCGGGCGGCGGGCGTTGGTTAGAGCGCTACGTCCGCATCGTTGGCTTTGAGCTCGCTGTTTGCAATCTAGCGCCTCGACTCCCGCGTGCCCCCAGGCGCGGTACAGCGCGTCATCGATACGAGCCTGAAACGCTGCCAAAGGGTTGTCGCAAGCGCTGGTGCGTGCGGCGTAGCATTCGCACTTGAGGTTTAGCGCTGCAGCGTGGTGCCTCCCTCTATGTCTGTGTGTATTCAGTCAACTAGGAAACACTCTGCATATCCCATAATGCGCGACTGTACGCCTCCACACAACGAGCGACTAACAATAGACTGCTCGTCTGTGCTCTCACTGAGATAGTAACCCTTCCATCAAAAGGTTCAGCGTTTGAAGAGACAGCTGTAGTGGTCACGGCCTAGTCTGCTGAATTAGCACCCCTCAACTATGTTGTGGCACCGGCTCCAATGTATAAAAATACAGGAACAGTAAGAGGTGCTAATGTAGTTGGCTGGGGGAGGGGGCTCGGCAGCATTTTTGTTTCCCTTCCGTCAGTACCCTTACGCTGAATTATAGGGTTTGCTAGATAAGTGTCAGATTTCCTTCGTAAAGTCCCCCTCTCTTTGATTCGATTCTGGATCCACTCTTGGGCCCTTTAGCTGATGTTCCAACGTTTTTTTCTATTCCACAATTCCTACGCCATCACCCGAGTCCATCGCGTACGTGATAAAATCGTAGGGATGTCGCGCGCGACGTCGCGGGCGGCAGCTGACCGCTCGGAGCGCGTTGGGGAAGCGCTTCGTCGTTTCTGTAGATTTCGTTCTCACTCTACTTTCAACCATATTTCCTCCCATTCAGGACTTGTCTGAGAGCTAGATCGATGTTGAAATCTCTAACGCACACCACTATTCGTGTGCTTTCGAGGGGTGCCCGAATGTGTGGGCGAAACAGCTTCGTGCAGCATCCACCCACTTCGGATACGAACAAGTCGATGAAGCTGAAAAAGAAAAGCGAGGTACGATCTTACTCAAATAGAATGTGAACTATAAATGCCCTCCTTTGATGATTATGTCCTGTTAAAACAGGTCTGCACCTTCTTAAGCCCATGCCAAATCATATACCGTTCGTATTTGTTTATTTATTTGTTATAAAGTGCATTTCAAGACATGAAAATAATCAAACTAAAGCAAGCTAGACGTTGCGTCGTTCGGTAAAAACAACTATTAGAAGAAATAAGAAGCTTTTTTCAAAATTTGGGTTGTAAAAGTCTTTTATTCGTTTGTCACTGTGATACAGTTACGTAGTGGTGAATAGGCGTTTTCTTTGTTATTTCTGGATAATTTTTATTTGTAACTTGAGTTGCCCACTGTCAACGAGTTTTGAAGCCAAACAAATATATTTCTGCGCTGTCCGGTTTGCGGGGGGGGGGGCTTTTTGCCCTCCTGCTAGTTCATGTTAATTAATAGGTCTCATTTTGGTTAAACTTGTAAACTCTTGTGAAGGTGTAATATGGTGCAATGAGCCATTTCGGTTGACTAGGCTTCACAAAAAAATTCGTTGAGTACCATTTTGTGCCCACCAAGCCAAACAGTGTCTAAATTTCGTCCGAAATGTGTGGAGTTGAGCAGCAGTAGTACCTAGCGATCCTTGCGAAACATTGGTAGATGTTTCACACATATTTATTTTATCGTTTGTCCTGCACGTTGAGTAACTCACAACTTTTGATATGGGTGCGAATCGGTTCCTCTCCTGCCTAGGCCAACCGAGCTAGCCTTATAGCGGAGCGGTGTTAATGTATTTCGATAGACCATGCGGCGCAAGCTCGCGAGGAGCAGGTGGGCGCAGTTCGGCGAGAGGGGGGGGGGCATTTTGAACTATCATTGCTTCCCTGCTTCCGGTTCCTTCCTGGTTGGTTTACACTCTCACTCTCGAAACCTGTGAACTCTTGTGAAGCTGAGCAAGTCGTCAAGCCATCATGGTAAAACCTGTCAACTCGAGAAGAGGCTGTCTAGATAGGTCGACACGTCGATGGGAAGTAGCAAAAGTGCAAAATGCCCCTCCGTCGCCGAACTGCGCCGAGCAGGTGTAGTACAGGTCCGCCAGTTGTTGTAGGATGACGTGTTGTCTCATACGCTCATACGCTGAGTGCGTCAGATAACACAATAATAACAAGGACATCTGTACTGTATCATTACCAATGTTATTGACGTGTGTTGTGTGACGTATTTAACACTCCATCCTCTAACAGGTAACGTACTGGACTGCGTACCTCTGCTACATCATGGCCTCTGCTACGAAAAGTGCTTGCATGGACTAGTTTTTTTGCTACGAAATATACCATGTGAAAAGTAGTGGAAGAGGGGGGGGGAATTTCTGCCGAAAGTTCCGTTCAAATGTAGCAGTTTATGTTTCAGTTCATCACGTTTTTGCGAATGTTGCTAAGAAGTATGACATGATGAATGATGCCATGAGTCTTGGAATTCATCGACTTTGGAAGGACTACTACGTTTATGGTCTACCGCTCAAGCCTGACTCAAAGGTAATGGTTTGATTTTATCGATCGCAATTACCAGTTCAATCCACTTTGTCCCTTATCATTTTTTTGAATTCTTTTACTAGTCGTCGATGTTTTTGTCTTCAAGAGGACTAAGCCCTCGCCGTTGATCAGCCTTTTTTGGCATGCGGCAAGTATTCTACTTCCATTCAAAATCCTAGTTGCTTTTTGAACTCAATCTGGCTATGCAAAGACTTGTGGGAGCTCCTGTCAGTGTTCTTATCCTTCCTGACGAATACGGTACCATCCTACCGTTCCCGGAGGGTAGAAGAACTTGGTTTGCCAGGGGAGACAGACTTGACCCCGGGGCAACTTCGTGATAAGCATGCCACTTATCAGTACACCAGTTGCGCCTCAACTTTATGCTTTCTAATCTATATAATTGAATAATACTCATTTAAACATCATACTTATTTACACATTAGCCGGCTTTCACGTAGTTAGGGGGGGAAGGGGGAGGAGGGGTTACGGGCACTTGTCAACCAGACGTGGCCTCGCTGCGAGGGTACAGGGGCATTTTCTCAAGGCATCTGCAAGTCCACGAGTTTGCAGGGAGAAGGTAAAGGAGACGGGATCAAAGAAGGGAGGAAGAAAAAGAAGAAAGGAAAAGGGAATAGCTTCCCGGTTGACATGCCCTGAGACGGGGGGCGGGGGAGAGGTCGGTATGGAACACTCGGCCGCTCCTCTATTACCTCTTTAAAAGAGCTTAGGCGTAAAGCACAGACGACCAGAGTTACCCAAAGATAAACCTGCCCGGGAGATACAGTCTCCTCTAAGCCTGTGCTTTAATGAGGGGAAGAGATAGCGAAGGCGCTGACGGAGGGGTCCCCCCCGTCCCAACCGAGTTAGCACCCAATAACCTTTATTTTACTGGTTTCGACTTCACAGGCTTCGAAAATGGGTTTTCCAGCTGCATAGTTCTCATGTTAATAAAACTTCAGTCTAGTCATAGTCTTTACTTCAAATATGAATGCTAACGTTTCAATCTTTTCAAACCATAATTTGAAATCTGCCATTCGAGTTTTTTCAAGTAATTTTCTGTATTACCTTTCTTTCTGTAAGAGCGTTCCTTTGCTGCAACATTTGCATTCTCTTCTCACGGAATTTTACCTCATTTTAGGTTCTAGACGTGGCAGGAGGGACGGGAGATATTGCCTTTCGTCTGCATAGAAAAATGAAAACGGCAAGATTACTGTGGTGGATATTAATCAGAATATGCTCGACGTTGGTAAAGAACGTGCAAATAAAGATCCATCAGTGAGTATTGATCGGCCATTTGTTTAAATTTTCGCTTTTAGACTTGATTTTTCAAATTTTATGTCAACTATAGGTTGACCCGAAGAGGTTTGAATGGATTTGTGCAAATGCGGAGAAGCTACCATTCGACGATAATTCTTTTGATGCGTATACTATTTCTTTTGGAATCCGCAACTGCACCCACGTTGACAAGGTGAGTCACGGTTTAAATTTGATTGTGTTCATTTCACTTTACCGTTCTTTTTTACTCCACCTTGGAGT